TCTACCTCTTGAAATGAGGATAGATTCAATACAATCAACATCTCCTTCAACCGAGGACGTAATCCCTCTACGAACCACTCACAAGCATCATTTTCAGTAGGAACAAGCTCGGCAGCAAAACGACTCAACTTATTGAATTCACACTCGTACTCATATACAGTGTGATTCCATTGTTTCAGATTCATGAACTCTTTCTTCATTTGACGAACAAATTGATCTCCGATGTACTTATGTTTGAATTCTTCTAAAAACAATGACCAAGTTACTTGGGCGTTAGTCATTCTCAATGTAACATTAGTCCACCAGATCCTTGCTTGTCCTCTCAACAAGGAAATTACTCCATCTAGCTTATCAGCATCGGAACAATGAAGTCCCGTAAGCATGACCTTCACGTCATTAAGCCAAAGGTCCGCAGTAACAGGACCTTCATTAGCTTCCCCTTTAAACTCTGGAGCTCCCAATCCCTTCAACTCTTTCGCAACATTTATTTTTGGAGTTGAAATAACAGGAGGTTGGAAACGCGTCAATACCGCGTCTAACGTTCTAAAGAATATATCTTGATCATTGACAGGCATTCCAGAGGATGTCTGTTCTTCACTCTGCCTGGCCGGGGCAGGTGAATTACTGCTTTCAGTGAGTCTATCGTCTCCTGCTTCATTTCTAGATCTACCCTGTCCGGACATCTATAAAAATACAACCATATAGTTCTATTAGCAAAACAACTTACTTACTAATCCATCAGATCAGAAGTTTCCACTATTTGTTGGCATGTATACCTTATAAGACACTCTAGACTTCAGTTTATGCCGAGGATCGACTAAACCGTAGCTCTGATACCATTAAATGTAACACCCTTAACTCATATCCGACCCGAATACAAGTCCGAGGTGTCACATTGACTTTTCAAATCTTTGACTCTTACAAAAAATCCCGGGAATTTTTAAAACTTTCATTAAAACGAAATACATTAATTTACATAAGACCATAAAATACAAAATCGATCAGAGTATTCGTAATTAACACTTATTACATACCAACACTCTATACATCATCAAGTACATACTTTGTCAATTTACTTCTGATCTGATCTCTTAGTAGTATTGCTGCCTGTGCTACTTCTATTTCCACTCTTCCTGATTCTTGGTACCTACGTGTAAATCACTTACACGCTAAGTCATAGACTTAGTGAGGCAATAAATGAATATGCAACGATAAACTTATGAATGTTCATGCTTACCATTGGATCATGACATCTCAATGTGCATTTATTTATCACATGATAACATATATAATCATATAATGCACATACGAAACTTACCTTCTTGTATCACTTTCACTGTAAATCGGTATTTCAATTGCATTGCCCATGTATATTATTGAGAATAGAGGTATGTGAGTACATTGAGGTTGTGCACTAATGCTGTCACCACAGCTCGTATCAATTCCCTCATGGGGCACCGAACCTTAGTTCAGTATTCATCCCGTAGGACTATTATCTATGTCCTGTAGGACCATTACATCCCGAAGGACTACATCCCTAAGGACTACATCCCGAAGGACTACATCCCGAAGGACTATTATACCCTCGACTCTTGGCATGCCAACTACACCTATAGTTCTCATATCGTATACTATGGGCATTATTCTTATTTTTCATATGTTCATATACTTCTGTCATTTCTCTTGTGATCATGTAGCTCATGTCACTTCATATCATGTTCTCATATTATATGTCATATCACATATCATATCACATATCATATCACATGAACATATATATGTCTTATGCATGTATAACAACAATTATCATGTATGCATGTTCACAACTATTATATTATAAAAATCAACATAGGGATTAGACTTATCACAAGTCTTATTCCATTATAATATACATCTAGTATGCACTCACCTTAGCTTTTCTTTGTTTCGATTCTAATCCTTTGATCGTTTCGGAATAAGCTTACTTTTAGTATCTACATAATCACACATGGATGTATATCAATATTATAACTAATATACTCTAATGGTTCACTCTTTAGACTAAGAGAAAAGTCAATTTCATCTTTTAATGAAGGTATGCATCGATGCACTACTGATGCATCGGTGCATCAAAGGTATTCGATATAGTATTATTGTTGGGATGCATCGATACACTCCTTATGCATCGATGCACCAATTGCATTCGATGTTTCATTATTAACGGGATGCATCGATGCACTACTTATGCATCGATGCACGAATTACATTCGATGTTATTATTTTAAAATAGTGCATCGATGCACTACCAATGCATCGATGCACATTCATATAATTTCTGGGTTTTAACCTTGATGCATCGATGCACCATGAATGTGCATCGGTGCACTCTGCCCAGAATCCTCTTTTTGAACCCGAAAGTTCATTCATTTGGATTAAATCCTTCATGTTTAATCCCCTTTTTCATTCTTAACTCTAGTACACATCCTTAAACCAATTTATACTCATTTATTTCATCTTAAACCTTCAAATCCTATCATTCATATGTAATTCAAGAATTACATTAATAAATCAACATGTTTGAATTCCGTTTTTAACACTTCGTATATCTTAACTAGATTGATGACAAGTCAAATATAACTTTCAATTCTAGTTATGAACTCTATTCCAAGATTTCATTTAAGAACTTCAAATCTTAAATCTCTCCTAACTCAATCATCCTTTGATGTTAAGATAACTTAAGCTTTCCTTAAGCTTAGTTATCATCTAATAATCAAAACCCAATATTAAATTTAACAAGAAACTCAATAATCAGAAATCTTACCTTTGCTTTGGTTCACGCGTACAAGGAAGAAAGAAGAAGATAATAAGTCTGGAAGCCTTTGGTTCTCTCCTTTTCAACCCACTTGTATTCATATATATCCTTATCCCTTGTTTAATTAATTGATCCTTGCAATGACTCTTTTGCCCTTCCATTCCTACTTCCTTTCAATTCAATCCTACACAATCATTTACATATATATCTTTATACTATTCATTCATTCTAATTTAATCACCAAAATTTGAAACTTTTCAATTTAGTCACTGACCCGGTATTGAGGATGTTACAGTATAAATGATTCAGTACCAATTTTTGGGCGCTGTGGGGGCCCTAATATTTCCCCACGCGTAATCGACTCTCGAATCAATTAAATCTAATCTTTGATAAACGCAGACTATTTTTATCTTAAAAAATTATTTTTCTTTAAATTTGTTTTAAAATACGTTTTTAGGTATTCGACATATTTAGCTCAAATGTCGACGGCAACTCCTTTTCAATTTAATCCAAATCAATTCAAAATCCGCAAAATTTTTAATTAAAAATCATAACTATTTTTTAAAATAATAAGTAATTGTTTTTAAAAAATGGTTATGACACATATTACCTATACAAATCGTATATAGCTTATACATTTGCAGGATTTAATGGCTTTGTTTATATTGTTTTAGGTTCTTCCTGCTAGCTTAAGGCATTGTTACTTTCTCACCCCCAGATTTCTGATGCTGCTGTTGTACCGTAAGTTTATATTGGAGATATATTATTTAATAGACATTAAACTTTCTTTTATCGAATATTAACATACGTTAGTGTCGAAATACGTAACATTTATGTGATTTTTTTTTTTAATTTCGAGTTATTAGGATTCCGGATGATGAGGTTGGCCAGTATCCCATGGCGTATGTGGTTTGAAAAAATGGGAGCAATATATCAGACTCAAGTCATGGATTTTGCATCGGAACAGAACAATTGTGGTATGAAATAAGGATTGAAAAAGAATAGGATGATTTAGACTTTAGTTAATAAAAACAGGTGGCACCAATCCATACAAGAGAATCCGGAAAGTGGCATTCGTATCTTCAATACACAAGAACCCATCTGGGAAGATTTTAAAAAGAGAATTTATCAAGCTTGCAATCTCCAGAATATGAGGGAATTTCGTAAGTATCTAAATAATAATTTCCCCGTTTGATATTAAATTTCATGTATTTAATATCCAGAATCTGAGGGAATTTCATAAGTATCCAAATAATAATTCTCATGCTAGATACAATTAAATTTCATGTATTTAATTTTATTACTGGCCCATTTGTAAAACGAAAGTCCTCAACCTAATTGTGATAAGAATGGCATAATTAGCACTCGGCCTTTATAATTAATTAATTAATCTGATCGATAAACGTAAAGGATGTGACCACATATAAATGTTTGGTTATAAGAGAATATAAAAAATAAAAATGAATAATTTTTCAGCTTAAATATACGTGTTCCGTGAGTATTGATAATTACAGAAGGTATTAAATCTACAAATTTTCAGCTAAAGACGTGATCCTTGTAAATTACATCTCATAGTATGATATTGATATTAAATGGGTCAAATGCTAGACCGCCACTTGTCTCTCGTGGGGCCCTCCCCAAGTAACGTATATGGGGGAAAGTGATGAAATTTAAAGTGATCAACGTACAGCGAAGCCGAGCCTACCATCTCAGTCGGTCCCACCACAACCTAACAGTAACAGTTCCAAAATCTCGAACCCTCTTTCGCATTCACGACGTCCAACACGTGTCCCGACATTTGCGTCCTTTCATCCACACCGGCCGGGTCCCGCCAGGGACAAAACCCATCGAAATCTTCATCCACGTGGAATGATTAAAGTGGTAGAAAGCTCTCATGATGATCATTTTAGCTTTTATGACATTTTACTGTTGTATTCCCACCAGCGCTGCCTTGTAAAATAAACCCAAAACTCTCTGTATTTATATGACACGTAATCTGGATGAACAGATGTCGAGTTTAAAAAGAGAGTGAATAACAAACAATTATCTTCAGACAGTTACACTTTTAGTAAAGGCGCTCGATTTGCTTGTCATTTAGCTCCGTTTTATTCTATTTTATAACTGCGCCGGAATAAATTAAAGCTTTGAAAATACTATAAAATCCCAGTTTCCCATCTCTCTTAACCCATCAATTTGTAGCCAACTTTGTATTCCATTTCAAGCAAATACATTAGTAAGCGTTGATCATATTCCTTTGGTTTAGTAATTTCCGGTTCATCAGAAAATGGCGGAGCAGCAAACCCACAAGGAGGCCGAGTTCGAGAGCAACGTTGGTGGCGATCAAGGAGCAGTGGAGAGCAAGGACCGAGGGATGTTTGATTTCATGGGGAAGAAAGACGAAAAGCCTGAACCTCAGCAGGAGGCCTTGGCCACTGACTTGGAGAAAGTTAAGATAGAAGAATCACAGGCGGAGAAGGAACATAAAGAAGGTGAGAAGAAGCCCAGTCTCCTCGAGAAGCTTCACCGATCCAGTAGCAGCTCCAGCTCCGTATGTATTTTCACTTTCTTTTTATGTTTATTTTAAAAAAGTTCCGATATTTGCAAATACAATATCATGAGGTGTGTTGTGTAAATGTGCAGTCTAGCGGCGAGGAAGAAGGTGAAGGCGGAGAGAAGAAGAAGGAGAGGAAAGGATTGAAGGAGAAGATTAAGGAGAAAATCGGTGGGGAGAAAAAAGATGAAACTGCAGTCCCGGTTGAAAAGCCCGAGGAGCACCCAGAGACGCCGGAGAAGAAGGGTTTCATAGAAAAGATAAAAGAGAAACTCCCCGGACAGAATAAGAAAGACGAAGAGGTTACAGCACCATCACCACCACCGACGCCTGCTGCTGTACAAGCCGATAAAGTTGCGGTTGAACACCATGAAGAAGAGTCAAAAGAGAATAAGGGATTTTTGGATAAAATCAAGGAGAAGATTCCTGGGTACCACACCAAAACTGAGGACGAGAAAGAAGCCACTGCTTCCCATTGAAGAATCGATACTCTATATTTGAAGTAAAATTGTCTATCGGATTGTGTGATTTCTTAATTTGTTGGGATTGTCTGTTCTTTTTTTATTTTTTTTTGTATATTCCATAATATAAGCGTCTTGTCTCTTTTCTGTTAACAAAATAATAGTAATAAATAATAGTATGTCAGAAATGATAAAATATTTCAGTTTCCCTTTTTACCAATGTGATTTGGATAGTATTTTCGTAACTAGTTTTCATGAATGAGATTAGTTGTCTCCTCTATGATATATAAATGAACGTAATATTTGAACAATTTTTCAATAATTATTATAATATTTATTAATTTAAATAAATAAATATAAATTAATATTTTATGTTTATTAAATAAATAAAACTTTATATGAACTAAATTGAATATAAATTGAAGTTTGGTGAGGTATTTTTTTTGGAAAAATTATAAGTGATCGGTATATTTATTAATCTAATATTGGTTAGACTATATTTTTTGATCTAACACTTTTAGCAGTAAAATGTGTTATTTTATTGCGTTATATGTTGATTTGGCGTTACGTCCTTGAAGCGTGTCTTATACTGACATTGATACACGTGTGTAAAGCGCGGTCACTGAGACGCGCCTTACGCCACGTAGGAGTATAGTGCGGGGCAGGGGTCGCGATATACATTTAACTACCTTATAATTTTTTTCGATTATAAATACCCTTCTCTTCGATTAAGTTTCTCACATCTCCTAACATTTCTCCTCTCAATTTATAAATTAATATAACAATTCCGTCAACTAGTCAATAATTATGATAATTTTCTCATATTTTATTCAGAAATTCGTTCGATTTTTTGTTATAAAGTAATTTTGTGATAATTTTTTTATTATATTTATTGTTTATTATGATTATTTGAAAAAAATATTATACTAATATTTAAATTAAAAAGCGGGAATATACGTCGAAATAGTTTTGCGGTACATGTAATAATATAAAATTATATTATTTAAATTATTTACGTTTATGTGTAAAAATTTTATTTTGTTATATTTTCGTTCATATATTATTTATTTAATCAGCATTGTTTCAGTTGTTTTTTTTTTGTAGATATAATATTGCCGCACTTTTAAACTCAAAGAATGACGCGACTTTCAGCTATTGTTTATTATGATGGTGAAATTCGAGAAGATGAAACCGACGTTTTCGTATCAAATGAGAGTGTTAAAATATCATTGAAGAGAAACATAACTCTTGAGGAGCTTATAACGAAGATTTCGAGGAAGATTCATGTTGTAAGTAGTAGAAAAATGTCGTCGTTGCATTACAGATTTCCAACATTATTGTTGCCATTAACTTATACAGCGTTCGAACTTTTGAACAATGATGATATTGAAATGATGGTTAAAGCTCAAAGTAATTATTCAGACGCCGATATTGAGATGTATGCAAATTTTATTCAAGTGCGTGTCGTTCGAGGTCAATCATTAGCTCCCACTATGGGCTGGCTGAACAAGTTGACAGCCCGACGACAGTAATGTGTAATGATTTTAATGCCATAATGGGAAGACATTCATCCGCAACTCCTTACGATATGTACCGAGGTGGGTCGACGAACAATCCGTATGGCAACATCGCGTCCAGTTCAAGGGAAAGACATTCATCTGCAAATCCATTTGATCTTAATATGGAGATGTCATCGACGCAACCATCTGTGCAGTTTCTATTTGACACGATGACTTCAAGCTCTAGGGGGAGGCATTCGACTGCGAGTTTTTTCAATCTCAATGTCGATATGCCTTCTAGTTCAAGGGGAAGGCGTGCAAGTAGTAGGTTGTTCGACCTAAATGTGGATCGTATGGAGGAATCATCATCTCCACCAGAAGAACCGCTTCGTGAGCCTGGTGTAGATGGTGCTGAGATTGGACTATTCATTTACCCAGAATCACCGTAATTCAACTCCAATGATGATGAAGTTTCAGGAAATATAACACAAACTGACCCTCCTGCGCACATGTATGAAGCTGATTATGGTGCAATGTACGGGCCAGAATTTACGGATATGCCTCATCTCGGTGACTATAGATATTACTCATCAATAAATAATGGTGAGTTATCTTTAGGCATGGAGTTTTCAAGCAAAAAAGAAGAGGTGATGGCTATAAAAAATTATAATATCCGTAATTATGTTCAGTCCAGAGTCAACCGATCCACGACCGAAAAATATATATGTTACTGCGCCTGACGCGAAAACGGATGCAATTGGATGGTTCGCATATCGAAATGGAAGAGGAAAACAACATATGGGAACTAACAGTATACAACGGTCACCACACATGTTGTGCTGGAGGGGTCAACTAAGATCATCCCAACTTGAACTCTGAAGTGATATGCCAAGCCATCATGCCCATGGTAAAATAAAGCTCTCATATAGCTGTTGATGTGTTGATTTTAGCTATACGATTGCAGTAGGGCACACTGTCTCCTATAAAAAAACTTGGTTGGCAAAATAAAATGCCATTGTCAAACTTCATGGCGAATGAGATGTATCTTACAACGAACTTCCAGGCTGGTTTAGGCTGGTGCGGAGGTTGAATCCTGGGACAATTGTGGACTTCGAAACCTCCTATACATACCATAATGATCGATTTCTCCGCGATCGTTGCCAATTCTACCGGGTTTTTTGGACTTACACACAATGCGTTAAAGCTGTCAAATACTGCAAGCATGTGGTCCAGATCGACGGGACTTTCTTGTATGGAAAATACAAGTAAGTTTTATTATTGACAGTTGTCCAAGATGGCAATCGCAACATTCTTCCAGTTGCTTTTTCTCTTGTCGAAGGAGAAGATACATATTCTTGGGGTTTTTTCCTCTAAAAATTTATGTGCACATGTTATCACGAGGGAAAACATCTGTTTCATTTCAGATCGCGGAGCTGGGATCAAAGCAACAATGGAGTCTTTGGGTCCAATGTGGCAACCATCCTTTGTCCAACATAGGTATTATCTCCGACACATTGTTGCGAACTACCATGGAAGGTACAAGAAGAATTATGAGCGTCAATTAGTTGTGCGCATGGGTAAGTGAAACTAATGTAATGTGTTTTCTTTTCGATCATTTTAATTTTGCAAAGAAAGCAAGTTAGTAAGTTATACATTTTTTGATAAGGTTACGAACTACTTCCTCGAACGTTTGAATCAATGCTTCAAGATTTGCGGGCGAAGAACGAGGAAGGATACGATTACATCAGCCTCATCGATAAAGAAATGTGGACGAACGCATATGATGGTGGATATCGATATGGACACATGACGACCAACTTGGCAGAGGCAATTAATTCGACCTTAAAGGGTGTACGTTACTTAGCAGTAGCGGCTTTGGTAAAGACTATATATTTTCGTTTGGGGGCGCTTTTTGCGAAGCTCGGGGGACAAGCTCAAACCTGAATGCAAGGCGGTAATATCTATCACCCTAGATTAGTTGCAGATCTACAGAAAAAAAATTTATGCATCAAATGGAATGTTTGTAACAAGCTTCTCTAGAAGGCATGAAATGTTTTGTGTCACAGAGTTACCGCGACCTCTTCAAGGGATTGAAGCTGTGTCGTTAAGAGTAAATCTAAGGGACAGAACGTGCGACTGTGGGTTTTTTCAAGCTCTGAAGTATTCATGCTCTCATGTGATAGCAACATGCTCTCATGTGATAGCAACTTGCTCGCATACACGTCAAGACTATAACCATTTTGTGGATCTCGTATATACCTACTATCTGAAGTTTTTAAGGAATATAAATTTGAGTTTCCCCCATAGGTAATGACAAAGTCCTTGATGAGGTTCAAGATTGGCTTCCGATTGTACCAAATCCGAGTTTATTGAGGGAGTGTGGTTGTCTAAAATCTAATCGAATTCATTGCGATATGGATATTCGAGAAAGATCTAGACAAGACAGAAGATGTGGGCATTGTAGAAACCCAGAACACACTGGAAAAACATGCCCACTTCTGTTGCCATCAAGTAACAATTGATGAGGAAATGATGAATTTGTTTATCAAATAATAATTCTTGCACTTCAATTTGCATTTACTTCAAGTTAATGTCATTCGATAATCGCTGGTGAAAATTAAAAAAATGATACAATAATACGAGATTGAACGTTTGCGTTATATGTGATTATAATAAAAGAGATAATAAGTGACAAACTTAAGAAAGTTATCGAACACAATTATTAAATTTTATCAAACTGATAACAATTTGGTATTTCAAAATAATTTTAAATACAACAAACTTACAATAAGTATTAAATGTTAATGATAACCAAATTACAATAACTGAGATTAAATGATAATAAACAAAATCAACTAAAATACATTAAAAAAAATCCAACAAATTTAACAAAATAAAGTAAGTATTAAATGAGAAATAATAAAAAATTACAATTAAAAAGTCCAATAAACTAAATACAAATATAATAAAAAAAACAAAATCTATCGATGTCTGCGACGCGAATGTGTTCCGCAGGGCGGTGGCTGTCGGTCTCGAGGAGGATTTCTTCGTATCACTGGTTGTGCGCTGTCATCACCATCATCATCGTCGTCGTCGTCGTCCTGAGTATGTACATGAGAAGCTGACGACGATGAAGCACCTCCATAGAATAAGGACTCTAGAGGTGTATGACTGACTATCCCACCGGCCTGCGAAAACTGGGAAAACTCATAAAACCCAGACATCGTTGAGTGTGAAAACTGTACAGAAGGTGTCTGTGCTGTGGCCATGTGTGATGAGGCTGAACCCGCTAAATATCCAGCATATGAACCCCAAGTCAGATCTACAAACATAGACTCATAATAGCCTCCAGGAGGGGTCATCTGTGACGGTGGCGGCGACGGGGTCATAAAACCAGGTGATGGTGGCTACGGCGGCATCGGTTAAAAGAATGGCTTGCGTCGGCATCTGGTAATAGAAAGATGGTGCCAGCATCATATATGGCTGTGGTGGCTGCTGTGAAGGTCTTGCTGGTGCAGCTGAGGATGAATCCGAAGCACATGTTCTCCGTCTACGAGTCGGGGGACGATGGTGCTGTGTCGGTGAACGTCTCTGTCGACGTCACAGAAATGTATGCCCTCGTGCATCCTCGGGAAGAAGAAACGGTTTCCCGTTACTGTTGAACCACTCGTAATAACCCTCAGCAACTATCAAGAGGTCATAAAAATTGGGCTCTCTACGGGGAAGGCGTCAATGTCGATCCTCCCATAATACGACCCACGCGTGATACCTCACCAGCCAATCTGTATCTGTCTTACCGCGTCTATCTGTGCTATACAACTCGTCTATATTGTGAGGTGCTTCCGGAATTGGTTGAAAACAACCAAATTGCCAGAGCACGCGATCAGTAGAGTGCCACTCGACGGTCGCATAACAGATCAAGGGGATCATCGCCATCCAAACATCTTATGAGCCCCTCAACTCAGTGGGTCACCGCCCTCACATCACAGTAAATAGACACCCATTCAAACTAAACAAATATATATAATTTTTATCAAAATAATAATCTAATTATATAACTATAATCTAAAACCAATTTTTAAACATTAAAATTCATACCTGTGTGACAGCCTACTGATCGATGAGCACCCTAATTTTTTCTAAATCATCAGGTAGATCCTGATGATTTTTCCTATCAGTAGATCACCTATTCGAGGAAAAAAAAATTATTATACGTTGTATAAAATGATTAATATACGAAATCAGTTTTATAATTACCTCAAATAGTAGTGGAAATACGAATGGGTTCTTGACAACGGGACATAAAAAGGGCAATCGATACCATGCCCAAGACTGCAGCAACAGGAGACATCCGCCGATAGCATTACGCCTGTAGTCAGTGGCTCGACACATCTTTCTGTATAGGAAAGCCAAAACTACCGAGCCCGAACTGAGTGATCCAACCAGATGAAAGTCGCCAAGGTGTCGCAACCACATGCAGTGAACTTGGTTGCGCGATTTGTCCGGCATCAACAACCCTTCTATCAGCTGCAGTATGCATGTCCGTGCATACATTTTAACTTCATCCTCAGACGCGTCCTCGCTCAAATTACAAAAATTGGCATCTAACCAATTTAACGGTGGTATCCGACCACCGTTAAAATTTTCTGAGACACGTCCTAGATTATCCCGACACAAAGCAGTCCAGGAACCATGCGCGATCCCCGATATCACATCTCCATCCACCGGAAGCCCCAGGTGCATAGAAACATCCTCAAGTGTAATCGTGCACTCTCCGCACGGAAGATGGAATATGTGGGTCTCCAGCCTCCACCGCTCTACTAAGGTAGAAATCAGGTCTGACTCTATCTTACAATGATCCTGATATCTACCTATGTAACCGAATCCAGCCTCTACTAAATACGGCAAGACACGACTAGATATCACTAACTTAAGATTCCTAATAAAATGATATAATACACGGTCCTTCTCCTAAAATTAAATAATTACAAAAATTAATTCTTAATCTAATAATCATGCATTAAATAAATCAACAAATTATTACTAATAATTTAAATTAAATTAAAATGTTAAAATGTTACAGTATCACCAAAGTGTCGAGATATATGATTTGCATCCAAGCGAAGTAGATCGTCTGCCATTTTATATCTGCAAAAAAATTAAATTTTATATATGCAAAAAAAATTAAATAAGTAAAATCTTAAATAAATTAAATACAAAATATTAAAAATATAATAAAATATACATTAGAAGAGATTATAAGAGTATTTGAAAGAAGTTGAGAGAATTTGGTGCGATGAAAGTGATTGAGGATGGAGGTATTTATAGGGAGGTTTGAGGGTATTGAAGTCAGAGTAGATGCGCCGTCCTGACGCGTGTCAGATTTACAAGGAAAGTGCGGCCCCTGCCCCGTACCTTAGGTGTAATTACACACCTACCCCGCGCTTTATCCACATGTATCCATGTCAGCATAAGGCGCACTTCAGGGGGGCGTCTTACTCCACGTGGCGCCAAAATCAGCATATAGCACGGTGCAGAGGGTGCGCTTTACTGTTAAGGGTGTTAGATCGGGAAATATAGTCTGATCGGTGTTAGATCGATAAATATATCGATCATCAGTATTTTTCTGGAAAACGCCGTTTGGTGAAGCCTACGAAAATTAAAGATTAAAAGTGTATTTCTTCATTTTTTTTACTTGCAAATAAATGGAAAATGTTGGTTGTTCAAGATTAAACGAACATTAAATAAATATGTTTGTAAATGTTAAATGAACGAATACAAATATTCTAAAAAAATTAAACATAAACATGATACTAAAAATTTAAACGAAAATCAATTGAATATGAATATATTTTACATGAATATATTTAAAAATAAACAAACGATCACAAATATAATTTTATTTATTTAAATTTAATTTATTTACGCTCCTACATTTTTTATTAGAGAAAATAACCTCACTGACCAAAAATCCCAGATAATATACGATTTTGACCAACTTTTTTTGGATTTGCGAAAATGACCAACAAAATCGCAATGCGATCTCTAATTCGCATTGCGATCTCCATTATCGCAAATTCGCGTTGCGATAGTTGAAAATCGCGTTGCGATTTTCCATTTCGCGTTGCGATAGTTAAAAATCGCGTTGCGATTTTCCATTTCGCGTTGCGATAGTTGAAAATAGCGTTGCGATATTCCATTTCGCGTTGCGATAGTCTACAGTTGCCGTTGCGATTTTTCAAATTCGTTGCGAAAATTCATTGTGATAGTTAAAAAAAAATTGTTTCTTAAGAATTTTCTCTAAAAAGATAGTATCCGCGCGGACGTGTTGAAGACACGTATTACCACGACCACGACCACGACCACGACCACGACCCGAGACGAGACGGCGGCGACGTGCGAGAGTCCCCATTGTTCTCTTCCACTCAACAAAGAAGTGGGAAATTCAAGCCTTAAATACCATTTCCAATAGTGTTTCCAATACTATGTGGGATTGAGCATTACCAACACCATAGAATCTTAGTTCCCAACCACATATCAAAACCGTTTGATTATTTCAGATTCATTTCGATTAAAGAAAGAAGATATATCATACCACAGATTGAGATCTCTTTCCATTATCACTTGAAAGGCATGAGTCATATATAGTTCACTGCTACTTCCCTAACTTGACTTTCAAAAACAGTGGAGAATGAACATAGACAACTATTGTTAACTCAATCAATAACAGACGACACCGCAAATCAAGCCCTTGACCATCATTTAGCGATTAATTTCCAATAAGTTACTCTTGATACTCATGGATAACCATCATAAGACGCATTAAAACCACCGATCAAGTAAGATTATCTAATACTTTCACATGTTCCGCTACCATATTAACTGAATAGAAATGTTCGAGGAGAAAACACTGCCTGTACTTATTACTATATTCTATTAGCATTTTCCTATGCAGAGATTTAGAAAATACACATATATCAAAGAATGCATGCTCATTACATAGTCAAGGAAGCACTAAAACAGATGCTTATGTATGCAGTTTAACAGTCCCTTCATATTTCGGTCTCTTTGATTAGTAAGTGGTGGTCGGGAACTAAGATTCTATGGTGTTGGTAATGCTCAATCCCACATAGTATTGGAAACACTATTGGGAATGGTATTTAAGGCTTGAATTTCCCACTTCCTTGTTGAGTGGAAGAGAACAAGGGGGACTCTCGCGCGCCGCCGTCTCGTCTCGGGTCGTGGTCGTGGTCGTGGTCGTGTCTTCGACACGTCCGTGCGGATACTATCTTTTTAGAGAAAATTCTTAAGAAACAAATTTTTTTTTAACTATCACAACGAATTTTCGCAACGAATTTGGAAAATCGCAACGAATTTGGAAAATCGCAACGACAACTGTAGACTATCGCAACGCGAAATGGAAAATCGCAATGCGATTTTCAACTATCGCAACGCGAAATGCAACGCGAAATGCAACGCGAATTTGCGATAGTGGAGATCGCATTGCGATTTTGTTGGTCATTTTCGCAAATCCAAAAAAAATTGGTCAAAATCGTATATTATCTGAGATTTTTGGTAACTGAGGTTATTTTCTCTTTTTATTATTCTACCTAAAACGATGTAATTGATCTGTCTCTCACACACACACACACATATATATATATATATATATATATATATATATTGATAAATTACCTCTGATATTTTATTTACTTTTATGTTTTTATCTATATTTGAATTCAAACAACTGTACTTTATTGGAAAATAAAATACAGAGATAATGTTGCAAATTCATAAAATTGATGACAATATAAGAGCTCAAACACACAGGTAAAAGCCCTGTTATTAATTATATGAGCAGATGGCTCATTTGTCCATCCAGATCAGACATCGGATGCACTTTCCTCCCAGAAGTAATTCAAAGGCTTTGTTGATGTCTTCAAACTTAACCTCATGCGTCACAAATTCGTCCACCGTCAATTCCTGCAAAATTAATATAAACAGTTAAAGCAAGCATCTTTTTCATACGATGTGCGTATTTATATATATCAAATTAACCTTGTCCGTGTAACGTTTTATCAGAAGTGGGACGTCGGTTTTGGTTTTGACACCTCCATACAAGCAACCCGTGAGGGTTTTCCCAGACAAAAGAACTTCTGAAGAGTTCAACTTCAACTGTGCACCTGGCTTGTCCACTCCCAGTACAATAGTCTTTCCCCAACCCTGCAATTGCACGGTGGCAGCAATGATATAATCTGATACATATATTTTGTTAACAACAAGTATAACGATCGCACAACAAAATAGATATTAAAAGTTTATATAGAAAATCCTTTCGATACATCTCGTCTTTACTTGAATTTGCCAGAGAAAACAGTATACCTTTCGACAGCTTGCAAAGGCTTCTTCTACCAAGGATGATATCCCAACACATTCAAAGCAGTAATCTGCACCTCCTCCGGTCATCTCAGTGACTACCTGTTCAAATTTTAATAGGAAAGGAAAAAGAATACACAAGTTGGTGAATCATTTAGTCGACAAATATTCCTTTTACCTCAAAATCTGCTTTTTTGCTGCACATTTCAACGTGTAAGGTTTTATTCGTATTATTTATTTATTTTTAAAGGTGTTTATATTCAATTTATGTTTATATAAATTCTCAATATCGTGTTCGTGTTCAATTCATTTAGCGTTCACGGATATGTTCGTCAACATATTTGTTTATATGATTCGATTCCCCTCAATAACCAACCCTCTCTTTTTACTATTTTATTTGAAGCCAAAGGAAAATGGTGAAATTAAAGTCTTAGTTCTAAGCTTCTTAGGTTTCACAGTTTGAACTCCAAAGTTCACTTTATGTTCAATTTTGTTCCTACCTTAAGGAGAAGGAGAACCGGGCAAACGAGATTATAAATGAGTCGATAAACTAACTTAAAAACGAATCAAACACAACTATGTTTGTATTCATTCATTTATTAATGAACATAAAATTTCTGTTCATACTCGTTTATTTAATTAGCTTAACAAATGAACGTTATACTAACAATTCGAATTGTTCATTGAATATTCTGTTCATCTATACCATTATATTTCAGAAGAGATCTCTGCTCCATCAAAACTACACAAAACAAACCCGAAAAATCAATTGTAAGGCATAAGCAACAAGAAGAAGACCTGGCTTAGAGATTTGTCCCCACATTCTTTTGAATTGACGAACTCAATGACCCCAAATTTTTTTGCTGCATATATGTGAAAGACGAAACATCAACAGAAAACCACACAAAACATGCCATTATCATCATGTACAACCATCACTACTCGTGTAAGGAGAATTTGGCTATTTTTAAAATGATCTTTCGAGTCCCAATTTGAATAACAATAATTCCATGACAAACTATCATGCACAAATTCACTCACCAACTTCAAATTTATCAGGGTTCACATCCACTCCTATAATTCTATCTGCACCACACAGTTTTGCTCCCTTTGCAACCTAGAAAACAAAGCAAACTTTGTCAGTTTTTCAAATTGGAAAACATGTATGGATATCGGATTGCGAGTGAAACTTCTGATCGAGATTATACCGCTAGTCCGATCGATCCCAGCCCGAATATGACAACTGTTGATCCTGCCTCAACCTTGGCCGTTTTGCAAGCAGCACCAACCCCTTAAAAAAGCAATGATGTGTACACCTTTTATCAAGCACTTTGCGAACAGGAAATGGCAGGAAGATCAAAGGAACATTACCTGTGGCTACACAACACCCGAAGAGACAAGCTCTATTGGGAGGAATAGAAGGATCAATCTTGACGACATTACAAACATCGACCACCGTGTACTCGGAGAAACTCGAAATGAATAGGAAATGATATAAAGTCTCTCCCTTAAGGTCAGTGAATCTGCTGGTATCGTATCTAGGCATCCATGGATGAATCCTGAATGGGAGTTTTGAACACAAATTGCTGTGTTTCGAACGGCAATCGTCACGCTCTCCACATTCCGACAAGAAGATCGGAATGACGGCATCCCCCGCTGCGACCTCGTTTACATTCTCACCCACACTCTCCACCACACTAAAACATAATGTCCGATTTGTAAATTAAATGAAAATGAATTTGCTCACCGGGTTTAAATAATAAAGACTGGGTAAATGAAAGTCAACGTTCTGATGTGATGATGAGAAATAGTAGGAAAATGGAAAAATACAAAAGGTTGACGAAGAAAACAAGCTCACCCGACAGCCTCGTGGCCCAGAATTCTGGGGAAACAAGCAGGAGGTTCCTTCAAGGAATAATTATATTTCAGTTAAGCAACAAAAATTAAGAAATTCAAGAGATAAAAAAAAGGTTGAATCGAACCTTCAGTTTCCAGAACGTGATGTCGCTGTAACAGAGAGATGTGCAGATGATTCGAATTCGAACTTCGTAAGGACTCGGAGGAGCCACCATGATTTCTTCGATCACTAGAGGCTCCCCTGCTTCGCGACAAATTGCAGCTGTAAAGCACATAACAACACTCTGTTTAATGCTCTAACAAGCAAAGAAGATGAAGAAACGAGGAAAAGATCGTTGACAGTTTACCTTTGCATCGAATTGGTTTTCCGGCAATTTCGCTAGACAATTTTCCGTCAGCCATAGTAAAGGAAATACAATAGTGATGATAGGTTGGTGGCGACGGAGGAGTGTGTAGTGCATCGGAGACCCGAATTGACTATGTTATATAGGATGAAGTCTTAGACAGCAGGAAACAAGACAAAATTTTGCCGATTCAAAAGTCAGAGGGTAAACTATAAATTTACTTACTAATCTTTACTCTCTCTCCTATTTTACTTACTATACTTTAAAAGTTTTAAATTTACTCACTAAAATTTATACATTAAAATTTTGTAGCCATTCCGTTAAGAGGGTGTTTGGTTCACGCAAAAAACTATTATCAATGAGAATAATCTTTTACGGAATTGTGTTCTCACATTTATTCACTGAAAAAGCATTATCAGGTAATAACTTATTACCAATAATAATATTTTTTAGTTAAAATGGTGAAAATGTCATTACTTTTAAATTCTAAGGTAATGAACAATTCTCTCCATTTATTTTGGACACAAGTACTTTTGAAATAATGAATTTTTTTCATATGAATCCTTCTTAATTCTTATTCATCGTGCTTTTCTTAAAATTAAAAATTTAATAATAATAATAATATATAAAGAATTTGATTTAGTAAAAAATAATAAATTTTGAGTAGTTAAATTATTTTATATTTTTAATATGATGAAAATGTTATTATTATAAAAAATAAAATTATTTAAACAATTTTTAATTTTGAATTATTAAAAGAGTAAATTTTATACATTGAAAAATAATATATTTGTCCACTCGAGACCACAATATTATTTTCTATATTATATTATATTATATTTTGTATAAATAAATGTAATACTTATAAAATTTATTTAAAATATAAGTTTGATATACTAATTATATTAATTATATGATAATTGTATTTTTTTTCTTTAAAATTATATAGTATAACCATTAAATATTTTTATAAATTTTCATTCAAAAATTTATAATTTAATATGAAAGTTTACCTTGTTGAAAAAGAAACATATATCACAAAGTATAATTTAATAAAATATGCATTCAAGTAATTTTTTATTCATTTAACCAAATACTATAATCTTACATTCCTGCTAAACAATCAAACAATATAATACAATATTTCCAAAGTAATGTTAAATCTCAGTAATCTTATTTCCAAATGTAATATTACATTACGTGAACCAAAAGTCTATTAAATAATTAACGGTGTTATGATTGAGAATCTTATATCAAAACGATGTAATTTCGGATTTTTAAAAAAAAATAAATTTTGATCAATACGATGTTATTTTTGTCTAAAAAATGATATTTTTAGGTTTTTCCTTCATTTCCTCCCTTTTCCATCTTTATTCTTCTTCTCATCCTCCCATTTTCTCTACTGTGAAATCTAAAGGATCGGAAGAAGACAAGCTACTATATATATATGAACAAGATTGCTCGAGATTTTTGGGATTCTAAAATATGATGGACGTAGTTATAATTTCGACAAGAAATATGTTGTCGATAATAAGTGAAAACTGAAATGTTAGCGAATTTGAAACATCCTCTCTTATTTCACTGCTCCACTGCTTCTTGTTTCGTCAAACGTTCCTATAAATATTTACTTGTGTCCGCGTCCAAATGACAAGCAAAGGAAGTAACTTGGGCGTCAGTTTGGGTTAGAGACCTTGTAAGTGAAGTTTTGGTGATCTCCATTGAATATGCTTGTGGAATTTCATGGCCGTCGATTAATTTGCAGAATATTTTGGCAGTAGCATTTAGGGATTAGGGTTTGGTATAGGGTTTTCGGTGTAAATTTCAATTAGTAATTCTTTAAAATTACTTTTAAAAAGTTAATTTTTATTTTATTAAATATAAATTTTATTTGGATGAGTTTTAATATTAAAATAAGTCACATTGTACCATTCGAGTGATAAAAAAATCAACGTATAAAGTTCAGCTATTAAATTAAAACATTTAAAGTACAGTGACTGAAATAAGAGAAAGAATAAAGTTTAATGAATAAATTTTTAAATTAACCAAAACCAAATATTCAACGTCAATTTTACGATTATAAAGGTAGAATACACCCCAGGTACTCAATTATGTGTTTAGTAATAATCAAGTCACTTCTTTTTCTAAAACTTATAAATAGATTACTTAATTAAAATGTTTTTACAAACAAGTCATTGTTAAAAATAGCTAGAATAGTGATGTGACTTTATATAATAACAATTTTTATCCTCAAACTTATACATTTTCAATTTGATTCTCATTCAAAATAATTCAATAAATTTCATATATTATATTTAAAAACTCCAAATGTGAACTTAATTCTTTATGTTTAAATAACATTTTTTTTTAAAAAAAGATTGGTTCAAGTGATAAGTAGTTTGATAGACCTTAAACGAGTCTCGAGTTCGAGTCGTGTATGCAGAAAATCTCAGTTGAGAGACTCATCTACTAAAACCAAATGTACAATCAGGGTCGGTTTGAATTAATCATGACGAATCTTTGGAAATCAAGAGATGAACATAAAGAACAACATTTTTCTAGTATGGATTAACTCTTAATTCAATTAATACTTTTTGAAAATCATAAAATTAAATGTGTTTAAATTAAATAATTATTGATTTAGATATTTAAGAAAGATTATAAATAGTTTATTTATTAATATATATAATATCTTTGTAGAACATATTTTTCTATTATTATATTATAAAAAATTATACTATCATTATTGTTAGTATTGATAAAGCTCAATTGATCAATTGAAAAAGCGCTAAGAGGGGGTGAATTGGCCTTTTAAATAATTTGGGTATGGGGGTAAAAAGAGATAGACAATTTGCACAAGGATTTATAATGGTTCGACTTCTAAACCAAGTCTACATCCACTCCCTTAGCTCCACACTAAAGATTTTCTAACAAATTCACTAATTTGTTCTTTCTTTTTCTAGGCTCAAGACTAATCTTTACAAAACCCTTAATTTTTCAATGACTAAACTAAAATCACTCCCCTTTTACAAAGGTTAAAAGATGTAAACAAGAAACCCTCACAAAGGTAGGTGTTTACAATAATTAAGCTCACAAGAAAAACAATTGAAAGATTTGCAATAAGTTCAAACATATATGTACAAGAGAAGAGGGAAAAATAAAGTGTGAAAGAGATTTTCTCTTGATATGTATTGCTTGGATATGTTTTGTAACATTCTTCAAGTGTCCTCAACTTGTTTTTATATGTTCGAATGAGTTTGTGGTCGTTTCTAGCCGTTGGGGATGAATTTTCTACAAAAGTAAAACTCCCTAGAACATAGAGTATTGGTACTCCTTTAAATAAACTAGCCGTTAAAGACCGTTGGGCTCGACCAGTATCGATACTAAGGTTCATGGTATCGATACCACTGCGTAAAGTGGTATCGGTACCCCTTGAGTTTCGGTACCAATTTTGTATTGTGAAATTTGAACAATTTGGAAAACAACTGGTAATATCGATACTACCTAGAGAGTATCGATACCATATGAACAATATCAATATTGTTCATGTAGTACCGATACTACTGAAAAAACTGTTTTGTGTTCAAATTCTAGTTTAATGGATTTTGAATTTTTTTTAAAAACTTTGAACAAATTCAATAAAGTCTAAAAATATTTTACCTTAATTTATTATATTAAAATATTATAAAAATATTGTCCAACAATTATCAATAATTATTTTATGACAAGTCAACTTTGCACAAGAATCTTCACACAGTATTTTGTTGAATTACATATAATTGTGATTAATTAATCATATTGCGCTGTTTTTGTGGATTTTTTTAATGATTCGGTTTTAATTATTAAGAATCTTTACATGTATTAAATATGAGATAAGCTTTGTTCTTTACAATAATATGAGATCGACTTGAACGACATTTGTCCTGATTCAGTCTCATTTATGATTTCATTTGATTTAGGTTTCGGACAAAGATAATTTGGTAAATTAAAGGGTAAATTATATCTTTGGTCACTGTATCATGAGTAAATTTACATTTGTATCATCATATTTTAAAAGTTTACATTTAGATCATTCTATTTATCAATTGTATCAATTGAGTCACTTTTTCTTTAAGTGTGTAACGACCTTTACATTTTTAGTTACATTTGATTTGAGTGGCCGAATATAAACTTATACATAGTTGAGTAACCAAAATATAACAAAAAATTAAAGTTTTTTTATTATAAAATAGCCAAATAATCTGATTATTATAATTAATAAATAGAAAGATTTAATTGTAACTTTCTAAAATACGATAATCCAATTATAAATTTATTCATAACACAACTATCTGTGGTGTAATCTACTCTATTTTTAATGACTTTTCCGCTTTGACTGTAAGTGCTTGTTAAGATGGAAATGCTTAAAAAGTATTTTTTTTTTAGACATAACCGTTAATTTTATTAAAAAGAGAAATTTTTTAAAATTACAATGAAGATTTACAATCATAATCATAATCATAAACTAAACATATAATTAGTATATTTTCGTAAAACTATTGACACGAGAAACTAATTAGTTGTAATCATACAAGGATTATATAAGGAAAATGTTAAAAATTTAACCAAAAAGCTTGAATAAAAGATAGATACTCATACAAACAGATTTGACTGCATCGACAAATGAACCACAAAGGGGATCAAACTACTAAAAACTACCGACAAACCGTAAATCATAATCAAGTGACATGAGAATATTATCCACAAACACAATCGTGTATCCAAATTCAATCCAAGGATCCAAAACAAGGAAATCAACACGACAATAAATAAGCATAATCTTGATCAATCGAAGCAACGCCAAATCCTACTTTGAAAAAAGATAAACGAAAAGAATAACCAAACGACCGATAAAAAAATCGAAAACATGTCATAAGGTAGAGAAAAACATATCACAAAGACAACGTTATTAAAAACTAAAAAAATAAAGAAGAAAATATATAATAAGAAAAAGTAAAGAAAATGTAAGAAATGGTTTAGTGATATGATAATCTAATAATGTAGTGCTTACAACACTTATGAGGATAAAATACAGGTTATGCACCATAGTTCCATGAACTGTACATTT